CCAGCAGTAGGTACAGTTGCTAGGTAGACCAGGTTGACCCGAAACTGGATTCGTCCTTCCAGAACGGAACACATTCCACAGCACCGATACGGAAGCGAATTCAGCAGGAAGCCCCCGGCCGGCTTACGCGCAATTGCTTTTCGAGCCACACCGTGACCTTTTGTTTTAACGCAAAAACAAAAGCGGCCCGGCCCAGCAGGAGCAAGGTGTAGCCCCGTTTGTGAATATTTATTTCTTAACAAAAAAAACTAAAGCGGGCCGGCCCAGCGGGATGCAGGCGTGAGCCCTCAGCGAAAACACCGATCCCAGCCATCCAAACGACTTGAAGGTTCAATTTAGACCGGGATTGCATAGTTTAAGGTGCAATCAACCGGAATTTCGACTTGAGGTTTCGTTTCGCCGGACGTGTACGAGTTCAGGGTTTAAAATGAACTTTTTCCATTTTTGCCATCACGCGTGTCAGGCTCCATAATCGTTACCGATCCGAGTCTGATTTCGCCATCACGCGTCCCAGGCTCCATAAATTCCAGCGATCCGAACCTTATGGCGATTTCAGCGGCCGAGATTTTGCAGCATCCGCTAGAGGAGTAGGTCCAGAGGATTCGAGGTGAGCGATTCTCACTTCCGCCCGCGTCCGGTCTGTCGGCTCGGTCGCCGCACTTCTCCGCGGAGGGGGGGAGGGAGATTGACAGTTTTTTTCTTCTCTTTTTTTGTTTGGGACCCTATGAAAAACTAAAGTTCGCGTCTTGGCAGCAGATCTGCCTTGCCCGATCCTTGGGGGAGATCATGGCCGTGATAAAGGTGCGAGTGAGCAAACTCCGCAAGGCAAAGAGTGTTGAGGACAGCAGGCACAAGAGGGCCAATGGCGAGGCACCAGTTGAGCCTCAGCAGGTACCGCATACTATACCTCTGTTCCAAAATAATTCAAGTTCTGGGTTTGTTCTAAGTCAAAACTTGTTTAAGTTTGACCAAGTCTATAGAAAAATATATTAACATCTATAACACCAAATTAGTCTCATGAGATTATTTATTTATGAAATATATTTTTTGTACCATGTGTATTTGGTGGTTTAGATCTTACCACATTTGTGTACAGTGTTGGTCAAACTTAAACAAGTTTGACTCTTTCTTTTTGAACTTGGTTAATTTGAAATATGGCACTGCCAACTTGGCATAATAAAAAATGTGACTACAGAAAACAACCTACAAAAAATGCCATTACAAAGCTATAAGCGAAGTTAGCAGTGATGTACTCATGTTCCCAGATTTTTGACACCCATATGCCTAGCTTGTTGTCATCTTGTTTTTCGAAATTACACAAGTAGCCTTAAGCTCTTAACCATGGACTTCTCTGGAGGCAACTACATTAACCATTTTCTTGATTCAGTTGAATTTTTCCACCCATATGCCTAGCATATTACCATATTTTCCTTTTCTTAACTAGTTCCCAGATTTTGTGTTCGTTTTCTGCTGGTCTACTTAAGCCCAATTTTGCGAAGCTAACATATCTAATTTTTGTGCAGAGGGAAGTTTGTGCATTCTGCGACGATGGTGGTGATTTAATCTGGTAGGTTTATCTACAATCAAGTTTCAGCGGCTTCATCTTTAATGAATGTCCAGTTGTGATCGCGAATTCACTTTCTTTCCTCGAGAATCGTTCTCCACTGAAACTTTGACCCACTCTATAGAGCAATTTAGTTTCTTGACACATAACACGGGCATTGGTTGTGTAATGTTGTAGTTAATTAGTGTTCTTTAAGCAACAGATTCCATGTTTCTTCAACCAAACTAATGAAACTAGGAATGCTGTACTTTTCTACTCGGATAGCTGACATTCACATGATAGTTGTTTCCAAATAGATAGCACGTTCACTATGTCCAGAAATTGTTCTGTGATTCAGCCCCACCAATATTGTGATAGGCATCATGTTTGAAATGAAATATATGGATCTTCTTCAATATTGTCATCAATGTGTTTGTAACGCAACACTGAGTTATGGTTTCCAGTGTTATAGATGCAAGTTTGTTGAATTTCCTGTTGCTTTGAACGAACCGCATTCCTTGCTTTATGTCAATTTTCCTTCTTACATTATGTTTTTTTAGCTGTGATGGTGGATGTCTGAGATCCTTCCACCCAACCAAAGGACATGGTGAAAGATCAATGTGCACAACCCTTGGGCTAAATGAAGCAAAGTGGCAAAAGCATAAAGCACTAGCGGTATATGATATATTTTAGTCGTTTTTCATTTTGCACTTCTATTTATGTATAGGAGTTGACATTTTGCTTCATATTTTGAATGGTAATTCAGGAAAAGGGGTTATATTTGTGCGAGAACTGCAAGCATAAGCAGCATCAATGATTTGCTTGTGGATTATTGGGGTCTTCAAACTTAACAGCAGGTCCTGAGGTATGCAGAACAGATACATTTCATTATCTTTCATCGATACTTTCTGTCTTTGTTTATGTCAGAAGAGATGAAGAAATGAAATTAAGTATATTGCTCAAAAGTTATAAGAAATAGGAAGCATTTCAAGATGCCTTTTTCATTATAGTATTTTCTAAGATGTTAGAAAGTAGTGCAACACCAATGTGTTGCTGTGAATTAATAAAAAACTATATACTGCATGTATAGAAATTTTGACGATCGTGCCAAATCAAACATATACATATCCCCTCGCATCCAAACCATCGGTGTCAAATCTATCACCCGGTGTATTCAAAGCTGGATGGACTGCCACCACAAATTGACATCGAGCACACCAACGCCGCACTCGATGATGATGTGCTTATTTGCTTACCTGTCAGGAAAGGTGTTGTTGAGCTCGGTCTTATACCTTCTTATCTCATCCGCCAGCTTGTATTGGGATATGCGCGTATGTCAGGACCATGTCAGAGCTTTGCAGTGAAATTAAATCTTAGAAGGCGTTTGACTTTGTGTGCTGCACATCTATACGAGTAATAATTACTCCCTCCATTTTTATTTACTCTGCGTATTAGCATTGTCTCAAGTCAAACTTTGTAAACTTTGACCAAATTTATACGAAAAATATTAACATCCACAATACCAAATCAATACCTATTAGAATCATCATTGGATATATTTTCGCATCATATATATTTTTTACTGTGAAAGTTTATATTGTTTTCTATAAATTTGGTCAAACTTTGTAAAGTTTTACTTAGGTCAAAGCTAATATGCGAAGTAAATAAAAATGGAGGGAGTATAATGCTTGTGTGTTCTCATCTTATAAAATACTTAATTTTCTTACCCATTTCTTGATGGCTTTTCAGGTATTCCAATGTAAGGAGCAAAAGTGTGGGCACTTTTACCACCCGGGATGTGTTGCTAAAATACTCTACCCTGATAACAAAGCCAAGGCCACATGTTTTGAGCATTGTGTTGCTGGTGGACTGGAATTCAGTTGTCCCGTGCATAAATGTAAGCGGTGTAAGGAAGCAGAGAACAAGCATGACAAGGAAATGCAATTCGCAGTATGCAGGCGCTGTCCTACTGTATATCACCGGAAGTGCTTGCCAAGGTTTGCCTTTGCATTGCCATCGTCAACCCGGTCTCTTTTATGTAATGTCCCATTGCAGAAAATAAGAATTTCTGGTCGTCACCTTTACTTGTTTTCCAGGGATATTTCCTTGGTAGAGGACGAGGAAGAGGCTACTCCACAAAGGGCATGGGATGGCATTCTACCTGATCAAATTTTAATCTACTGCAGGTCTGTTGATTCTCCTACTTTGATCAGCCACATAATTTCTCCTGTTTTCCATTTGTCTTGGTTTCTGGTACCCTCTGTGAATTTCTGTAAATGTTTTCAGGAAGCATGAGATTCAAGAAGAGCTGGGAACTCCCAAGAGGGACCATATTGTCTTTCCAGATGCGAGAAATCCTGATGCAGCAGAAAGGCATAGAGGTGCACCTCACGGGCACGATATACCCGACGAAGACGAGCTACTCGACCGCCTAGCGTCCTGCAATCCATCTCAGTCCCCTCAGCCGGCAGAAACTGGCCGTGGTAGGGTGAAGCCCATCGATTCATTTGCGCCGAAGCACTTGTTCCTGCGTCCACAGCCAGGCTCCTGCGGTTGGCTTGATGACTGATGATCCATTCCTTTGTCTCCCACCTTGCCGTGTAGAGAAACCATCGGTTACAGGCTCCCTCTTATACATTTCATGTCATCTCGAGAAGAAAAAAAGAAAATGTTATGTAGCCCTTTGTTAAGTTTAATACGTATGTCATTTCCACTATTTGGTTGGCTAGACACACTATAACATGACAATTCGCCAAATAAACATTACGTTTACCAGAATATATCCTGAGGTTCTGCCTCTGTTTTTTCTGATTTGAAAAGGAAAAAGAATAACCATGACGGGAACTTTTATTGAACTATTTCTACGGCGAAAACTTGTTGCAAGAACGTTGCTTCTAAGTACTCGGCATTTGTTTTTGTTTTTACCACAGATGGCATTTGTGTTGAATGGAAGTTAAGATTCTTCCATCAAGATTTTTTTTGGGGGGACCTAGGACATTCTCTGCATTCGTAGCGGGAATTTTCAAATCAAGCAAGCTATATTGTAATACGTCCTCGAACAAATATAAGATGTTTTACAGAGGGAGTAGTATATTAGGACCACCGTACTTCTATAGGAACAAGTAAATACATGAATCCAACTCAAAAAATAAAGGGTAAATACATGAATGAAACTTGTAAGCTATCACAATGTGATTGGTTAAACCGAGGTTAAGTGAGCACATCTCGTTGAGGTTAGTATATTAGCCTTCTGGGTAACTTTTAAGGAGAAGAAAAAGGAACATTGGCACTCATACCATACCAAGTAGAATGCCTTTGGGTTTTTCTCAAAGGATGGGGATGAACACATGAATTTCCGACCTGATCAGACAGACAGACAGCCTACAAGGAGCTAGCTAAGAAGTATACCCAACATGAAAACCTGAAACCTTCCTTGGACATGAGAGCACAGAGATACTCAATTACACACAGTGATCATTTTTGGAGGGCAGGAGACATCGTTTGCTTGAGGAGTTAATTCTGCATCCATGTCTGGAACATCCTTCATATTATCGTCACCTTCCTTGAGAAAACTGAGCGCCGCCAGGCCTGTGCCATGCCTGGTGCTGCAGTCGTCGATGTCGGGACATCCTTCGAACAGGTACCCGATGTTGCTCTCAAAGGTGGCATCGTTTACGTTGAAGTACTCGCTCAGATTCATCGAGTTGCTGTTGTTGGGCCCAAAGAAGTTCTCCAATTCATAGCAAGGGCTCCACAGGTTCTCCTCGACGCCGCTGTCAAACACAAGGGGGGCACCCATGTCTCCGGTGTTGTCTGTGTCATCCACTGCAATGGGCTCGTTGACGCTACCTGGTTTCTGCGCTTCACCTGAGTTGAGCTCTTGGACTGCATTGTCACTTTGGTGATCATGTTGAAGCTCCTCTTGCAATGCTGGCACCACCTGTGGCCCCTGCTCCAGTTGTGTCAGTAACTGTGGCTGGTCCAGGTAGCGGCTAATGTCGAAGTTGGTTACGGCGTTGGCGCCTCGGTATTCGATGGCCGCAAGATCATAGGCCCTGGCTGCTTCCTCTTGGGTATCTGCAGGAAGAAAGTAGATGCACTATGGTGAGCTAAATCACAGAATTTACCAACTTGTGTCAAATTGGCTCCATTGTTCTCCCAAAGGACAAGAGTTGTTTGGTGGTATCAGTGAATGAGCGCAAGCATCAGATATCTAGAGTAGAAGATGCTGAATTTCACACCCTAGTTGCCTGAAAGACGACAGTGGATGTGGATGGGATGCTTGCTACTTTCACATGTGCTGGTCACTAGAGTTGATTGCGGTGTTTTGCTACTGCAGTAATTAACTAGAGAACTCTTGTGGCAACCTGCCCTTTAGTGGCGATCTTCTCGCCCTTTGGGGATTTTTTTTTCTTTTTTATCTCTGCTGTTAGTGTGGTGAATCATATCATTTGTGCGGTGATTTGGATCCTGAATCTTGATCTGGTCTGTTTTTTGACAGAGAGGAGGGCATGCCCCATGCACGTGAGGCGACCACTCACTGCTGAGTCAGAGAGGCAAGTGAAAAGAAGACAGGGAGAGATTGAAGATCCCTATGCACCAGCCGGTGGCATTACCACTCCCACCACGTGCTGCTCACATGCCCGCAGTATTTACTGGTAATTAGCAGTGCAGGCATTGCGTATGATCTGATCCAACGCTCTGTCTGTGTGCTTAATGTTATTCTTAGGGCAAGTTGAGCAATCCCCTTGGGATTGCACACAGGATGGTATCTTGGTCTGTCTCTCTCATGGTCCTGAATCTTGACCCTGCCACTGCCCCTTTTTTCTTCCTTTCTTTCTTTTTCAGATACATAGAAAATAAAAAGAAAGTAGAAATAAAGAGAGAACAACTAGTAATTAACATGCTAGTAGTAAAGATTATGGTAGCAGCATCAGGGTAAGCCCGGGTGTGGTGCATTGAAGGGAGGGAAACAACAAGTGCATGCCATTGAATATATGTGGGTGTTAGGTTTGATCATAAAATTCTGGTAAAAGTTAGGTGGGCAGCTGCTCTGCTCTTGCGGAATGTTAAGCAGGACGATTCTACAACGAACAATGGTAACCTTTCAATGCCGATTAATTAAAACTGTTTTCTTGCTCAAAGGAGTAGGAGGAGGAGCTCACCAAAGGTTCCCAGGTATAGGTACTTGTTCCCCAGCACCCGCCCAATTCGCGCCTCCCACCGCCCATTGTGGTGGTGCCTGCACCCAAAATGATAAACATTTACATATATTCAGACACAACAAATCCAACTGTTTCTCTCTGAAATTTCAGCAAAATTAGTTCCCGTGTTTTGTCAAAATTAGTCACGAGAAAAAAGTTGGATGCATATTGTTGAGCCGTTTCTGTGAATTCCAGTCGAATTTCCAAACCGGCGGCCTGCTGTCGGCCAGGTTGGACTTTTTTCGACACACGAAGCTGACGGGAGAAAGAGGTAGGTAGGTGAGCCATCTGTGGCCACTCTAGATGACATGGCTGGCTGGGGTATGACGTTGCACTTTCTGCCTGCCAGCTGACGCATGCCACTGACTCCACGGTGCAGATGGATCCTAGCTGCCTACGTACCCCTATTTTGTCAGTCGACCAGAAAGGTCCCTCCTCCCGAGTCAGCACCATCCCTGTATCCCACGTAGCATACACTTGGCACTTGCATGCCACGTGTCTCTTCATGAATTTTGCATGCCTCGCAATAGTGTTACCCAAACGGAGCTGCTAATTAATGCAGTAATAGTGTAGTACCTGGCGACGCCCCTGTACTTGGAGACCCCCCTTGAGAAGCCGCTGCTCCGGCGGCGGAGGGCGGCGAGGTACTCCTCCCGTGACACCCCCTCCATCTCCGACCTCTCTTTCGCGTACTCATCCACCTGCAGCATGCGTCCGTCCATGAATTAATATAATTTCTCATGGTAAGTAACTATGTTTATTTTGTTGAGAAAAACAACAAACAGTTGTTATACAACCAGCACATTCAAGGCCGTCTTTTTATGCGTGTTGCTCATCTAGTAGTAGTGCTACTAAAACACAAGCGACATGGGCTGTCAAGACGTTACTACTCTCTCTGCTGTCACCACCATAACTCTCGAGTCAATGGTGGTGTTTGCCAAGACACACCCTGGCTCCTGCTTGTACCAAACAGGAACTGACGCAGCAACTTGGATGTATATGTACACATTCATATCAATGCATTACTTTTTCTATTTCCAAGAGGAGAACAACATACAGTGAAATTCAGTGTGGTTTCAGGGCCCCAATATTTGAGAGCTGCAAGATCGTAAGCACGAGCAGCTGCCTCCTCTGTATCATAAGCCCCTGCAGAATTGACAACCAAATCGTCAACAAGCAGATTATAAGTATTTTGATTCTAAAGGAAGATTGAAGAAAAAAAATGACAAGTGACATGAATCTGCCAAAAACAGGTAGGCTGGATGTGTGTCTACAAATATGCTTGTGGGACTTACCCAGATAGACTATTGAGCCAACACAGCATCAAAGGAGAAGTAGATCGCAGTCACATGCAGATCACCAGACAAGGACCCCCACAAAAGATAACAGAAAACAAAGAGATAAAAAAGTATAATCAGAATGTCAGCCTTAATAAATTCGTTTCGCTTTACGGAAGAAAAAATATGCTTTGTGCTAATATCAGAGATGGGAATATCAGGATCCAGAGCAGCCTCGGTCACAAGGACCTTGCAGTTTTTTATTCAGTATTAGGTACCATCCTCGTATTGCATCTCTATTTTTCCTTTGATGCTTAAAAAAACAATTCTATAAATCTGAAACATTAATGCGATTTAAATCTGAAAATCAGAAGAAGTGAAGGAAAAAAATCTACCTTGCCTCCCTTTCTTCTTGTTCTGGATGGAAGTGAAGCAGTTCTTGTCCCAGAGGTGTGCCTCGAATCTGCCCGTCCACCTGTGCCTGGGTACATATTGACATGGATGCAGCTGATCAATATAAGCACTTGCCTTTCAAGGAGATAAAAAAGTAAGGAAAAACTGATTGACCGGATTAAATGAGCAGGCAGCAGTAATGCAGATTGCAGATCAACCAGCCCTCCTACTTCCTAACAACTAACAGCAGTTGACCGAATTATTCAAATGGAGCACGGCAAGAAAATCCGATGGCCGAATTCAAGAACTCCACCGGGATCATGCTTAACAGGCTCTCCGAGAGACCAGGAAGGAAAAAAGGGTGTAGACTTTTGACATGCAAGCCAAGGTTGGGGACCAACCAATTGTGCGACTCCTAATTAATCAGCGGCAATGCGCAATTGACTGGTTACTTTGCGGGCAGAGATCGAAATCAATCCACGGAATACAGGCATGATCCATACCTTGTGACCCCTCTGTAGATGGAGCTCCTCTTCCCTGCCGCGGCGGCGCCATTGGCGGAGGCGTCAGACTCCTTGCTGCTCCTGCTCGCGTCTTTCTTGGCCCGCTTGGGCGCCGCCTTGGCCTTGGCGCTCCCGGCCTTCTGCGTCCGCGCCCGCTTGCGGGGAATGGCGATCGAGGACGAGTCGGAGGAGGAAGGAGACGACGGCGACGGCGACAGCGAGCATGCCGGCGAAGAAGAAGGAGATGGCTGAGGAGGAGGAGGAGGAGGGGATCTCTTCATGATCTCTGTGCTGTGTCAATGGTGGTGGGCCGAGCGAGAGTGGGGAGTCAAGGTGGAAGAAAGAAAGTAGGCAGGGGTTTTATAGAGGGAGAAGGCTGTGCGGCCTGGTACTCTGCTCGAGGGTTTTATTTTATTTCTTAATTGTTTTCATTAAGCGCCAGCAGGCATTAGTTTCACATGACACCTTGCTTGTTGTAATGTTGCACATAAGGGCTCATTTGCTTTAAAGCAGAAAAAAACATGCACCGATGACAGCTAGCCATGGTTAAAAGGCAGGGGGGCAGAGCATCTCTAGCCGTTCCTCCAATTTTTCATTTCTCAAACAACTTCAAAACCTTTTTTTTAGGGAACAACTCGAAAACCTTGGCCCTTTAGATTTTGATGAGTTAATTTTGTTGCATCTTACTCTTCCCTCAGTTAACTCCCACTAAACCCCGGGTCCCGCATGGAAGCATGTCTCTTTCCCTCTTCTTTATTCTCCAAACCGACATCCCCGTGACCGAATCCAACAGAGATACATCCTGCCCCTTTGCCTCTGTCGGCTTGCGCGTCAAGGTATTCACCGAGCGGGGCTCGTTTGGCGTCTACTGCGTCAGGATCTACACCAATGGCGTCAAGGTGTCATGCCCCAAGTTCTAAAACGAGAGGGGCTATGACTTCATTGTCTTGTCTATGTGCGGCTTCCCAACAGGGCCTCATCCGGGCCGACCTCCTACGCCTCCACCCCAGCATGATCCTCCCCATACCAGCTGGCAAGGGCTAGAGTCTCATCGCCACCTCTGCCACCAGCTCAGCCTCCGATGAAGGAGCACGACTATCGACTATCGTTGGACCCTTCGACTCGTACTCCTCCTCAGCCATGACCTCTCCCGAGAGGCCAGTAACTCCTGGTGAGTTTTGTGTGATCCAGCTCGATCGTTTTGCTCTTCTATGTTTGTAGCCATAGTGGAGAGCGACGAGGGCGATTACGGGAGCAGGGCGGTCGTGAGGAGGGGGTCGACGAGGCCGCACATAGTCGACACGGACGACCGGGAGCTCCAAGACGCTGCCGTTGAGGAGTTGGGTGATGACTGAGTCTGAGAGGGGGGAGAGAAGCTTTAGGGAGATATCAAGTGGCTGCTTAAACTCCATTCTCCATCTCCTTTCTTAATTCCATTCTCAAGAGTAAAGGAAACCCATCTCTCTCCCTATCCTTTCTTCTTCCTCTACACCCTGGGTCCCGCATGCAAGCCCGTCTCTCTTCCTATCCTTTATTCTCCAAATCGACATCCCCGCGACTCGAATCCACCAAGATAGACCATGTCCCCTCCGCCTTTGTCGGCTTGTGCATCAAGGTATTCATTGAGTGGGGCCCCTTTGACCTCTACCGTGCTAGGATCTACACTAACGGTGCTAAGATGTCCCACCTTGAGCTCTAAAACAATAGGGGCCACTGCTTCATGGTGTTGTTCATGCATGTTTTCGCGATAGGGTCTCACCCGCGCCAACCTCGTACACCTTCGCCCCGACATATCCTTCCCACATCGATCGACGAGGTCCAGAGCCTCGTCTTCACACATGTCACCACCTCTGCCACCATATCGGCCTCTGACGAAGGATCCCGACAATAGAGGCGAAGGGCGCATGTAGCATCATGAGGCCCTTCGGCAGTTGCCCTCCTCAACAATGACCTCTTTCGAGAGGCTAGTAGCTCCCGACGAGTTATGTGCGAGTTATCTCAATCACTACGTTCTTATTTGTTGTAGCTATGGTGGAGGGAGATAACGGCGATTACAGGAGCTTGGCAATCGTCGAGGAGGGAGAAAGCGTGGGGTGGGGGTAGTCGGGGTTGTCGCGCGTAGTCGACATGGACGACGGGGAACTCTGAGACGTTGTCGTCGAGGAGGTGGGCGATGACTGAGTCTGAGAGAGGAAATAAAAGCTTTATGAAGATTTTGAGTGGCGGCTTAAATTGAAGGAGGGAGGGCTATTGTGAGGGGTAAGTCCTTAAACTTTTGAGAAATTGAAGATATGAGGGAAGGGCTAGATCGGGTATAAGTCCTCAAAGTGAAGTTTTTTATATAGTTCAAGAGATTTTAGGGAAATACTAAAGATGTTCTTGATTCCATTCTCAAGATTGTTTTCGTGATTTTTTGCAACAGAACCAATCCACTGGGCATAACAGTATGATCAATGGGTGCTTGAATTAATCTTCCTCTACCAATTAATCACAAAGTAATTGTGCATGGATGGCATGGGTATATTCACGGCTAGTGAGAGGAAATTTGTCTCGTAGTATGTTATTCAGATACTTGCTTGGCATACGAAGAAAAATTATGACATGCACTTTCTTCTAACATTGAAGAGGACTATGCACTAGCTTATCATGTGACCCCATATAAGGCAAATGAATAGCTTGAGAGCCTAGACGATGGTGTGACCTTAGAGCTACAACCTTATGTGGTTATCACACGACTCCACGCTTCTATTCCACTACATCATGCTCCATCACCTATGAGCGTGCGGATAAGGGAGGCAAATGGACAACTTGAGAGTGTTGAAAATGGTGTCATGTGTCGGCCTTCCTATTAACACTAAAATAGGATTGCATCACGATGGGCTCAATACGACTCCACACTACTCATTCCCATGTCGGTTCGGCCCTAACATGTGTAAGCATGTGGTTGCGTGAGGCAAATGGACAACTCAAGAGCATCGACGATGACATGTCACCAATCTTCATTTTAACATTTAAGAGGACTACAAGTCAATGGGATTAGTGTAACCGCAAACTACTCCTTCCAAATCGACCTCGCCCCAATCACGCGTGAGTGTGCATCTGCGGCTCTAGAATGTTAGTGATGGTATGAGACAAGCCTTCCTTTTAACACTAAAGAGGACTACATTATGACGGGCTTAGCACATGATCCCATGCTACTCCTTCTGCATCAGCCTAGGGCTATCACTTGTGAGCGACGACCACATGAGACAAATGAATGGCTTAGGAGCATCGACAAATGGTGTGACATTGACCATCCTTTTAACATCAAATAGGCGATACTATGATAGGCTGAGGGTGTGACCCTACACTAGTCATCCAAATCAGACTGGTCTCACTGTGTGTAAGTGTGCCGCCACATGAGACAAATGGATATCCCATGGGCGTCGACGATGGTGTGGCACCAACATTACTTTTCACAATGAAGAGGACTATAATATGGCGGGATTAGCATGTGGAGCCACGCAACTCCTTCCACATCAACATAGGCGGTGACCGGTGGCCGCATGAGGCACATGAATGACTTACAGAGGGTCAACAATGGTATGACATTATTGATGATTTTAACAACGAAGAGGATGATAGCATGACATGCTTAGGGCGTGCCACCCTACTACTCTTTCCACATCATCCCGGACTCATCATGTGTTATTGTGCCACCGTGTGGGGAAAATGTGAGTGACCCCGCGCTACTCCTTCCACATCAATACACATGTGAGCGGCTGATATGTCTCCAACGTATCTATAATTTTTTATTATTCCATGCTATTATATTATCTGTTTTGGATGTTTTATATGCATTAATATTCTATTTTATATTATTTTTGGGACTAACTTATTAACCTAGGGCCAAGTGCCAGTTGCTATTTTTTCCTTGTTTTTGGCTTTTACAGAAAATCAATATCAAATGAAGTCCAAACGGAATAAAACTTTACGATGATTTTTCTTGGACCAGAAGAAACCTAGGAAGCTCCGAGAGGAGGCTAGAAGACCTACTAGGAGGCCACAAGCCCTAGGGGCATGCCCCAAGGGCCCCCTAGGCTTGTGGGCCCCTCGGAGACCTTCCAACCCTAACTCCACCACTATAAATTCTCAAATATCCCCCCTACATCAGAGGGCACACCAAAAATACTTTTCCACCGCCGCAAGCTTTTGTTCTTGTGAGATCCCATCTTGGGGCCTTCTACGGCACTCCGCCGGAGGGGGATTCGATCATAGAGGGCCTCTACACCAACCTTGCTGCCCTTCCGACAAAGCATGAGTAGTTTACCACGAACCTAAGGGTCCATAGCTAGTAGCTAGATGTCTTCTTCTCTCTCTTTGATCTTCAATACAATGTTCTCCTCGATATTATTGGAGATCTATTCGATGTAATCTTCTTTTGCGGTGCGTTTGTTGAGATCCGATGAATTGTGGATTTATGATCAGATTATATATGAATATTATTTGAGTCTTTTCTGAACTCTTTTATGCATGATTGAGATAACTTAGTATTTCTCTCCGATCTATCGATTTGGTTTGGCCTACGAGATTGGTTTTTCTCGCAATGGGAGAGGTGCTTTGTGATGGGTTCAATCTTGCGGTGTCCTCAACCAGTGACAGTAGGGGTAGCGAGGCATGTATTGTATTGTTGCCATTAAGGATAAAAAGATGGGGTTTATATCATATTGCTTGAGTTTATCCCTCTACATCATGTCATCTTGCTTCAGGCGTTACTCTATTCTTATGAACTTAATACTCTAGATGCAGGCATGAGTCGCTTGATGTGTGGAGTAATAGTAGTAGATGCAGACATGAGTCGGTCTACTTGGCACGGATGTGGTGCCTATATTCATGATCATTGCCTTAGATATCATCATAACTTTGCGCTTTTCTATCAATTTCTCAACAGTAATTTGTTTACCCACTATATGCTTCTTCAAGAGAGAAGCCTCTAGTGAAACCTATCACCTATGCCCCCGGGTCTATTTTCCATCATATATTTTCAGATCTATAAAATAAAAACCAAAAAATACCTTTCTATAATTTATTTATATTTATTTTATTTTGCCTTTTACTTTCTATCTGTATTAGATCTCACTCTTGCAAGTGACCATGAAGGGATTGACAACCCCTTTTTCGCGTTGAGTGCAAGTGTTTGTTTGTGCAGGTGCATATATTGGGGACTTGCTTGTGCCTCCTACTTGATTGATACCTTGATTCTTAACTGAGGGAAATACTTATCTCTACTTTGTTGCATCAG